TCCCCCATGCAATGAGCTCGTTGGGCAGCTGGGGCTGGGCTCGTGTCACATCCCTTCTCCATAGGCGCCTGCACTGCACACGCAACTACATCCACGTCCACCTCTTCGCCTCCTTCATCTGCCGGGCCGTGAGCATCTTCGTGAAGGACACAGTGCTCTACTCGGGCACCGTGGGCACGGAGATGGAGAAGATGCGGGAGGAGGACTTCAGGGCAGAAATGGGTCCTTCCCCAGGACATTGGAGCCACCTGGCAAGTGTGGAGGCAGGATCAGGGGGAAAGGGGATGGAAGGTGCAAGGGGATGTGGGGGGATGCTCCCAGCTCGGGGCTGCGCTGCTCAGGGGAGGGATGAAGGGCAACCTGCAGCTCTGCCCACCCTGGTGCCACAGCAGGCAAAGGACTTCAGTGTGGCCTGGTTTGGGAAGCACCTTTCCTATGGGAGATGTAGAGCCACGGCGCTGGAACAGCCCAGGGGAGATGGGCACAGCCTGGGGTTTGCTGGTCAGGTTTTGCTTTCAGGGCACAGCCTGATATGGGCACTTCCCTGCCTCCGTGTCCACAGGTGGGCTGCAAGGTGGCGGTGACTCTCTTCCTCTATTTTCTGGCCACAAACCACTACTGGATCCTAGTGGAAGGGCTCTACCTGCATAGCCTGATCTTCATGGCCTTCCTCTCCAACAAGAGCTACCTGTGGGTCCTCATCATCATTGGCTGGGGTAAGCATGGACCCCAGAGCTGAGAGCAGCTGGGAGCTGTGGCATCACAGTGGCACAGGATGCCCAAGGCAGGGCAGTGGGATGCAGACCAGACCTGTGCTGGTCTGCAAAGGTGATGCTTCATCCCTGCTCCTCACCGTGCTTCCTGCCCCTCCAGGTCTCCCTGCTGTGTTTGTGTCCATCTGGGCCAGCGTCAGGGCCTCCCTGGCTGATACACAGTACGTGGGTCCACCTCCAACAGCCCTTTGGGGAGGGGAAGGCTGGTGGCAAATGCCAGCAGAATGAACTGAGCAGGAAGAGCGAGAGGAGTGAGCACACTGTGAGGCTTGTCCATCAAACTGGCAGGGACCCAGAGAAACAATGGCTGTAGCGTGGCTGCTGTTGGGTCAAGCCTTACACAAAGGGAGTGAAGGGAGGATGGGGATGTTGGTTATGGGGTAAAGAGAGCCATCAGCTGGCAATGTTCCCGGCCAGGTTCCTCCAGGATGTTTCTTTCTGGGTGTCTCCAGGTGCTGGGATCTCAGCGCAGGGAACATGAAGTGGATTTATCAGGTCCCCATCTTGGCCGCCATTGTGGTAAGAATCCCATGGCTGAATCCCCCAATCCCTTTTGGGGTAGGGGCTGGATAGAGGCCCAGAGCTGTTCGCTTGTGGTCCCTGAGGTTGTGCCTGCAGCCCCTCCGGCACGCGGCGACGCAGAGGGATGCAGGGACACCGCTCCCTGCCCACAGCATCACCTCCGCTCACCCACAGCTGCCTCTCCTCGTGCCGGGGGGCTGCTGGGGCAGGCCCACGCTGGCTGTGGGCAATAGAAGCACAGTGGGGGGCTGTTGGCAGGTGAACTTCTTCCTCTTCCTCAACATCGTCCGGGTTCTGGCCTCCAAGCTCTGGGAGACGCACGCGGGGAAGCTGGACCCCCGGCAGCAGTACAGGCGAGCGCTGGAACCGCAGCCCCTGCCCCTGCCCCGGTGCGGCTCCGCCGCTGCCTCTCAGGCTGATTCTGGGAGCATTTCTCCTCTCAGGAAGCTGCTCAAGTCCACGCTGGTGCTGATGCCCCTTTTCGGGGTCCATTATGTGGTGTTCATGGCCATGCCCTACACCGAAGTCTCCGGGGTCCTGTGGCAGATCCAGATGCATTACGAGATGCTCTTTAACTCCTCTCAGGTATTCCGAACACCCAGCAGTGCTCATCCCAGGAGCGGGGAGGCACACGTGGGGTGGCCCAGCTCAAACCTCACCTCTGTCTCTTTTGGCAGGGTTTCTTTGTGGCTTTTATCTACTGCTTTTGCAACGGGGAGGTAAGTTGGAAGCGTGAGCTCCCTGGCGCAGCCTCTTTGGGGCTGGGGAAGTCAACCTGGAACCCCCAGGCTGGGAAAAAGCTTGGATCCATCCCTCTCGGTAGGATTTGATTTTAGGCTCCCTAACGGAGCAGTGTGCTCCAGTGGAAGGGGTCCCTGCCCGTGGCAGGGGGTTGGAGCTGGATGAGCTTTAAGGTCCCTTCCAACCCAAACCAGGCTGGGATTTGGAAGGGGAGGAATTCCTTGGGGAAGGAACAGACAGCAGCAGCCACCTCTGATCTCTCCCTCAGGTGCAGGCAGAGATCAAGAAAGCCCATTTCCGGAGGAGCTTGGCGCTGGACTTCAAGCAGAAGGCTCGTGCCACCAGCGCAGTGGGGAGCTACTGCTATGGGGGGCTGAGCTCCCACCCCACCACCAGCTTCAGCACCAGCCTGGTGGGGCGAGGAGCAGGGAGCACCCAGCAGCGGGGGCTGCTGCTGCCGGCCCGGGCCAGCCTCCCGGGCTGTATCCCCAGCTCCTTCGCCTCCAATAACTTTGTGCCCTGTGTGACCCAGGAGATGAGGCAGAGACCTGGGGGGGGAACCACAGGGGATCCAACAGACCTGGATCAGGGTCACCCCAACCTCACCAAAATGCTGGAGACGATGCTGTGAAGCGAACGGAGGGTTTCCCATCTGGGCATCCAGCTGTGACTGGGAAGATGCTGATCCTCACACTTTTATGCTTGCATGGAGAGCTGAGATAGGGAACAATCCAGTTCCCTTCCCTCTCAGGCAGTGTGCAAAGGCACCATGTGGCTCTACCTACCTGGCCTGTAAAGGAGCAGCTGGTTCAGAACCTCATTTCCTTCCACACACCAGTGACTGATGTACGTGATGTCTGTGCATGCAAAGCCTTGAATCATCCCCAGGAAACACCTCAACGGTCCAGAAGGTGACTTCAGCTCCAGTGTGTATAAAGCTGATTCAACGAGCCCATAGTCTGACTCCCCAGTGTAGCACCTACATCGCACAGCCTGGTGCTGTGTAGAGCTGTTCTGCAGCTCATCCTGCCCTTAACTGCATCCTTGTGCAGCTTGCAGCCATGGTAAAGCAGGAACAGGGAGCATGAGGATACTGCAGCAGATCCCAGCATCCACTGGGATCAATGGGCTCAGGCACCAGGCCAAGCTGCATGGGCTGGGATGGGCACAGTGCAATGCTGGGTCCACCCTTGGCTTTCCAGCACCATCATCCATGAACACATGGGCTACTGCATGCGAAAGGCTCAGCCCTCTGGTCTTGAAAGTGAATGAAGACATGGTCTGTGTGGCCTGCTCCCATCCCTGAACTCCATCAGGGACTTGGTGGTCGCTGGAGGGCAGCGGAGGGTGCCAAGGGCTGGAAGCACATCCATGGTGGCAGCAGCCAGATCCTGGCTTCTTCTCTGCTGCACTGTGCTGCCCGAAGAGCTCTTCACCTGATGGGTAAAGACATTCCAGTGGGGCTTGCACTGCCCAGCCCAGCTAATTCCACCGGATCACAGGGGAGGGGAGGATTTCCCCAGTTGGAAATGGACATGTGTATGTGTTAACATTAAACAGTGTTGGTGGCAGCACGGGGTTTCCTTTCCTACCTGCTCTAATGAGGCAGTCTCTCAAGGCAGTGAAGGTGTGCATCCTTCTGTGCATTCACACATCTCCCAGTGGAAAGCTACGAGGCAAAGGGTTTGCCACAAGGACTGGCAAACTCTGGAGGAAGGGAAGGGCTCCAGGGCCCAGTCGGGCACATCCACACCACCTACAACGGGGCAGAGGCAGGGCTGGCTGGTGGCAGGGGACAAAAGGGGGTGGCTGATGCACAGCCACAGAAGCAGAAACCCGCCCTGAGCTTCCTGCAGTTGTCTGCTCAGCTCTTGTCTCTTTAGAAGCAAGCAGCACGACCTGCACTGCAGGAGGGTCTCCTTCCAGGCATGCTGCTCACACTGCTACCTTGTGCCGTGGAGACAGAATCAGCCCTCTGATGTATCTGGCAGGGACCTGTGAACTGACATTTATAGCTCTTGGTCAGTGATCAGTATTTACTCATCCAAGTCTCAGGAGGCCTCTGGCAGCTGAGAAAGGGGTGAGGAATTTCAATAATCCTATTGAAGAGCAGAGGGATGTGTTAAAAAGAAAGGGGGAAACCCAAGGACATGCCATGTCCAGGGCCCGTTCCCATGGGCAGCCATTCAGGAAGGCAGGAGCAGATGGAAGCTTTAAACTACGGAGCTGTTTCTATCTTGTTTTAAAACTCAGATCTTTAATTGTGCAGAGTGATAAACCTCAAGTGTGAGAAAGGAAGGGGAATGGCCTAGAAACGTGGAGAGGGGCTTTGCACAAGGGCCTGTAGGGACAGGCCAAGGGGAATGGCTTTAACCTGCCAGAGGGGAGACTGAGATGAGCTCTTAGGCAGAAGTTCTTTTGTTGGAAGGTCCCTTCCAACCCAAAACACTCTGGGACTGCATGGATGCAACAGCATCTAAACCCCTGCCACATCTGCCCTGGAACACACTTGTCTTAATACTGAATATGCAGAGCTCAAACCAGTGCAATGAGGTTTCTGCCCAGACCATAATGAGAGAACTCAAGTGGAAGCTGTTTCAAACAACCCCAACAGATTAGAACCAGTGAAGGGGCCCAAATGAAGTAGTACACATGCAGGTCACATCACAAAACTGCTGCCAAGTTCTCTAATGGCCCCAGGGAAGGCTGGGATGAGCACCATGCCCTTCCCACTTGTAAAATGAAGGGGAAAAATCTCTTCCCCAGCAGGCTTTGAAGCTAAAATAGGGTTGGCAAAAGTTTGGGGTCAAAGATACTGCAAAACCCCCCACAGGAATTCTTTTATCAACCACAATCCATCAATTCTGGTGAAAGAAAGGGACAGAGTGGATGGGGATGCAGACACCAGACACCACCCAAACACCATTATAGCCAGAGGAGAATAAAAAGCAGGTGCTCAATAGCTTTGAACCAGTAATAAAACATTTACTAGAGCAAGCAGAAAGTAAATGCACAGCTGATAAAGAAAACATCACAATGTCACCAAAACCTGACAGATTCCAACCCTTCTTTCAGTAGAAACAAGACAGGGGTGGGTGCTGCCATGTTTCAACAAAAGATTTCCTGCCTTACCTTTATGGTGCCAACAAAGAGTTAAAAAAGGGATAATACACACAAGGAGTTAAAAACTGTCAAGCAGGATTTTACAGTTTTAACTACATGTGTCCAATATGGGGCGAGAGCCGAGCTGTTCCACTTCATCAATCGCTTCTCAGGTTCTCCCTGAAGGCTTCTGAGAGCAGCAGGTCCCTGAATTACTGAGGGAAGCCTCTTCACTGAGCTATACTGCATGGGGGGCACCAGCCTTGGAGTAGTGTGGCTGTATTGGATTCCCTTTTTTGTCTTTAATTTGAAGAAAGCACTCAACCCTCTCATAACAGAGGGTGCACAGGCACAGCAGAGAGCCAAGTTTGCTATGCAGGCTTCCATCAACGTGAAGGGTTGCAGGAGAGAAGAGGTTCTTTAGAAGAATGAAAGACCTGGGCAGTGGGGTTGGGATTGATGTACTGACCACAGCCAAGCCAAGGGAGTCCAGCCTGCACTAGAGGTGAATTTGGGGTTTGCTGGGCTGGAGAAGGAGCCTTTGAACAGCTTCTTAAAAAAACAAAAAACAAGGAAAATCAGCTTCATCCCACCTTCAGCAATGCAAATTGATGGATCCTTACGTGATGGGATGTAAGGGGCAACCTGGAGGCCAAATTATGTAGGGATAATATGGGAAAACAAGAGGCTGGGGAAGAACTTACCACACTGAACACACTGCCGAGAGAGCACTGTTTACCAGGTGGGTCCTGAGCATCTCTAGCTGTTACTTTTTAAGTGTGAATGCTGGTTAAGAAAAGGACTACTTTATACTTGTAGGGACAACAGTTTCTTAATGTTCCAAGGCCATGAAACAGCTTCTTTCTTGGCAAGATCTGTTTAACTCCAGCAGTCACTTGAGCACTGAATGTTTAAAGCAGAACCCAGGGAGCTTTACCAAAATGATTTCTCTTGCACTAAAGCACTGTGTGTACACATCATTAGAGAGAAGCTGTTTGCAGATGTACCGGCCCAGACTTGCACGGGGAGTGTAGTTCGTATGGTTTCCTTCTCCTCCCCCAGCATCTCAACCACCACTTACCAAAACCCCCCCCCCAAAATCCTCTGGCAAAAGGCAACACCACCTGCAGGGACCCCATGCTGGGGCAACACCAGCTTTTAACTGTCCCACCGGCTCTTCTTCCGCTTTGGGGGCTCTGGGACAGCAAACCCATCTGTTTTGTTGTCTCGGTTGGCGGCCTCCTTCCTGTTGTCACCATTCCTGTTCTCGTTGTTCCTCCCCTCGCTGCTGTTCCTGCTGTCACCGTTATTGCGGTTCCCAGCACCCACGTCAGTGAAGTGCCGGCTCTCCCCGTGGCGATGGTTGTCGCCGTGGCGGCTCTCTCCGTGGCGGTAAACGTCACTGTGGCGACCAGCTCCTTCCCCGTGGCGCTGCACGTCGTTGTAGCGACCACCCCCCTCTCCACGGCGCGGGGCTTCGTTGTGCCGACCGGGCCGGCTGTCGTTGTACCGTTCCCTGACCACGGCACCGCCGCCACCGCCGCCGCCACCACCACCACCAGTGGTGGCAACACCGGTACCGCCGCCGCCCTCTCGACTGTTGGTGCTGGCACTTGTGTTGTTGAAGCCCTGTCCCCCGACGCTTGGGAAGGTGGGAACGCTACTCAAACTCCCCGTGCTGGTGAAGCCTGGCACACCCTTTGCTGCTGCGGTGGCTGCAAGTGGGCTCTCAGGGCTTGCAGTGTTTTGCTGGGCTGAACTCGTCGGTACCGAGTTCAAGCTCCCGGCGCTGGTCCAGCCACTTGCCCCAGCAGCAGAGCTACCAGTCTTTTGATTGTTTAAGCTTGCAGCAACAAAGTGGCTCTTGTACTGGGACTGACAGAAAGAGGCAGGGAGAAAGAAACAAGAGAGCATGTTTGCCTTGGTGCTGCAGCACAAACCACACAGTCGTCATGCACACACAAGCCCATCTTGAATTCTGGGGAACTCCTAGGAAAGAGTTCCTATAAAGAGTCAGTCTTGGAGTGATTACACTCCTGCTGTGCTTAGAAACACAGAATTACTAACAGGCATCTGCTACCAAACCACAGAAACAAGGGGACTGCTATGTTTTGGGGTTCATTTTCACACTGAAGAGAAAGAGTTTCTCTGTTCCCCATTCCTTTTGACTGCAATTACACTATTGCTGCTAAGCAGTCTAAACAGGCTCAAGCCTAGGAGCAGGATCCACAAGGGAAAGACGGCAAAGAGGCTGCTGATAACAAAGCTTGGCAAATTAACCTTGTGCAGATGTGTTCAGCCCCACCTGCAGACTCATTCTGCCACTCTGGACTGCAATGCTGAGCACATACTCCAAGCAGAGGAGACGCGGCCGCAGCTACAACTGCCAAACTCAACTGCCCTGAAACCAACAGGGTTTCTGCATTTACAGGGGAGAAACAATGTGGTTGCCTTGAATCATTAGTAAAGTTTTTCCATGATATGTCCTATCCTCTTCAGTTTGAACTTGGAGTACAAGTGCCGGAACCTACCTGAAAAGCTGCTTTCATTGCTGTAAGCCTGTCTCCCATTGCCCCAGTGGATGGCTTGTACGCCTCGTAGTTACTCATCACGCTGTTGTTGTTTCCACGGTCCTATGCAAAAAGACAAAGGGCAACTGGAGAGGTTCATCCAAAACACACTTCCAGGTCAATCATCCTCTGAGCCGACGGCGGCTCTGCACTCAGTAAGTATGTCTGCTAAGGATGAGAAACTTCTGGGGAGCACTGAGCAGCAAAGCTCTTTGCCCCATGACCTGGAGGGCAATGACAGGCTGCTCTAAGGTCTCCACACAACAATATAACCTCACTTCCCAGCTCCTTGCAGTACAAGCAAAAGCAAAACGCAACCAAATGAAGATTTTCACAGAGCTCATAGCCAAGACAAGGTGGAAAAGAAGTCATAGAAGCTGTGACTTGTGGAGAGATGCAGGACACGATGTGTTAAACTCTGTCCCCACGCACATTGGTCATAAGCTGGTTTCCTACCACGGACATACAATAGTACAGGTTCCCAATGCTGCAAGATCTTTTGCTGCCAAGAATCTGCCTGGAAATGGTTTTTGAAGTAATTTATTAGCATTTATTTTGCACTGGCAGTCTATTTTGGGAAGGATGTCCAAACCTTCTGGGCAGCTCTTGAAAAGAGAGTAACACCACAGGGGCAGTTTCACTTGGGATGTTTCTGATACTAACTCTAGAAGACTCTGAGCTATGAAAACCTCTGAAAGCAGAGGCTATACTCCAGAACTAAGATTTTTTACATTAAAGACTTGCCAATACTGAGTGTAAAAGTTCCAAGAATCTGCAACCAACTTCTTCAGCATCTCTACTTACAGAGTTTTCTGATCCCAGACCAGGACGTTCACGGTATCCTAAGCCACCACCACCAATATTCAGCTTCTTGCCTTTTCCTCCTTTGAAACGTGATTTTCGAAACCATGGATTCTGTACAAGAGAAGGACAAATCTCAATACAAGGAATAAGAAGCTTCATAAATGCCTTTGCTCTCTTGCAGCTCCACAAGGCAGCAAAAGACAAGAACTCTGAGAGCCGACAGTGGCACAAGCACAATTGCTTCAGCTGTCACACCTATATATAGTGAGCCTGCCAGGCAGCCCTGCCAAGCAGGTACACAACGATCAAGCAACAACCATTTCACAGAGTGAATGTCTCTGTAATTATGTTCTAGTTTAGCTTTCAACTAAGCTGCATTGCCCAGGTGCCTGCCATAAATCCATATTGAAAATCCAACTGTAATGAGATACTGGGGCTGGAGTGCTCTGCTGGCATCAGCCAGATCGCAACTCCTAATTTCACAGGCAGTGCCGGACCCCAGAATAGATTACATGCTGCATTCCAAAACCTTCATGTCTTCATGGAGTCTTTCAAATGCCATTAAGAACACTAGAAAGCCTACTCAAAAAGAGGATAGACCACCAAAAAGTCACTGCTAACACATGATGGAGCCAGAAACAAGTCCCTGAGCTCCTGATTTTGTGCCAATCACGAAGGGAGCCTTGCACTACTCAAGAAGCTTTCCTTGTTCATACCTGCATTGCTAAATCCAACAGTTCCTTGGAAACATGCTGATTAGCCCCTTCTAGGTTCCTGACAAGATCACCAGCGAAGTTACTGTCTTTGGGAGTCAGCAGAGTGTAGGCAACTCCCTTCTCGCCCGCTCTGCCGGTGCGACCGATCCGATGGGTGTGGGTATCTATGTCTCGAGCCACGTCGTAGTTGATGACAGTCTTAATGGAAGGAATATCTAACCCACGAGCTGTAATAAAAGGCAACATAGCGGGAGGTGTGATGATCCCAAATTAACTCAAAGCAATCCCATTCATACCAGCATATTACTTCATTCTGCTCCAGCATACAAAAGGAGTTTGCACGGGAACACACACCACATAAGACACTCTTCACAGGCTAAAACTCCCAAGTGTAGCAGTATCTCCTCTAACAGTAGTAAAAGTTCCACTGATTCCCTGGGTCCGCAGGGTTAGGGATGGAAAAGACCTCTTTATATGACTGTTTTGCCACTGAAGAGAGAGGGATTTATTAAAGAACACTGAAATTCACTCTTTGGTCAGCTAAACATCTGGGTGCAAAAGCTCTTCTAGAGAAGGCTTCAAGCGCGTTCATCTCTTCTTCATTCAAGCACGCATAATGTGTCAGCTGATTAACAAAGAGCAACTACTTCCTTAAGAAACTGCTTTTTTTCTTTCTGTATAGTACAAACTGTCAGATTGTAATAGAAACATCATCAGAAGACTTCAAAAATAATCCCCCCTGCTAACACTGTGTACACCTGAAAAACATCAGAAACACAGTGCCCAGCATGGGCAGAAGCCAACCTTGTTGCTTTCCACTGACGTGTGTTGGCCTTGCTGCCCGTATCCACAACTTGTAGGAGCTACTGCTTCGTAGAACATCACCTACCTGCCACATCAGTAGCTACCAGTATCGGGATCCCCTTCTTCTTAAATTCTGAAATGACTTTATTCCTCTCACTCTGGTCCATGTCACCATGAAGCAGTCCCAAGTTATGATCCTCCTGCTTGAGGTTATTGGCCAACTCTTCTGCATTTGCCTTCTTGGTGACAAACAGGAGAACACTGCCAGAAGACGTGAACTCCACGAGGCGTCGAGTCAGCCAGTTCCACTTGCTAGGGCCAGAGGGGAAAATCTCCACAATTTGAGTAACATCTTCATTGGCCTAAGGGAGGAAATCAGACAAGATGTACTGCAGGACAGGAAGGACAGTGTGGCAAACAAATGCAGAATGAAATGAGGAATTTCAACTACATGTGAGAAGAAACAGTGGAGAAACAGGCGAACAAAATCCTTCGGAAGAGATGTTAGCTCTTGTCTAACTGCTGGCCACTTCTTTTTCTCAGTTTAGATAAGGCAGAGGTTAAGCCTGAGAGATGCAAAGTGCAGTCTTTGACATGATGCAGTTTAGCACCTTACTGACCTAAAGGTGGGTACTTGCAATTCAGGTGTTCTTGGGACAGATGCTATTAACATCTGAAAAGTAAGAGCAGGTCCAAGATGCAAAGGATGCTCATCAAGTAAGAGTTACTCACGTGGCCATCAGAGAAAGTACTCCTGCAAGCTGTGACTTGCCATGGGATCAGGAAGGGGGGAGGCATAACCAGACTCCCTATACACTCTGTACTGCAAGTAACACAAGTTTCTCTAAAAGATTTCATCTTTACACATTTAAATATGCATTATTTCAAGAATGATGCTCTCAGAGTAATAATTTAGATCAGGGAATAGAAACCCTCTGATTGAGCTGGGAAAGCTGCTGCTTTTCTTAAGCAAAACATAGGAAAAACAGTTTCCCAGAAGGAAGGGCCTTCATGTAGCCATTAATTTGTTGGTAATGAAGGGACAGGTCAACATTCCTGATTGAGAAAAAGTAAAAATCAGAGAGATGGTTAAAAGAAAAGTGTTCTGAAGGTCACCTTGTGAAATTTCTCAATAGTTTTCATGTATCAGAAGCAAAGTTTCTTCACAGCAAGTATACATCTGCTGCTTTATCAGCTTACTACCAAATCCCTCTCCCACTAATAGATCAGCTGCTACTGTCAAGCAAGCCTAGAATCAACATTCTCATGTGAACCAACTGAAAGACATTACAGTCTGAGATCCAAAGCCTTCACTGCAAAAGCTGCAATTGCTTGATTTATACTTTTGAGACAAAAGAAAAGGATATACCCATTGATCCAGCCTAATAAAATCAATCCCTTCATTAATGTTGCTCCACTCCTTGATGAAACCTCCCATCATTACAAGGTTCAGAAAGGTCAATACCAAACACCAACCTTTACTATTATTTGTTAAGCATAAAGTAGTTACTATTCAAGAATGACTACTGCAGTTTAACTTCAATTTCAGACAAGAGGAGCAGAAGGCTTCGTTTCTCTGCTTGATTCAGAAGTATCATGGAATTACCTCTCCAATGTCTCCCTGCACAACTCGGATGGGGTCGATCAGAATATCCCGGGCCAATTTCTCAATCTTCTTACGGAAAGTGGCACTGAACAAGAGGGCTGAAAGAGAAACAGCATTTGAACTCCTTGAAAAAAACAGCTTCCTTTCAGAACTGTGGGCACAAAGCCTGTCAATGAGGACCTGCAGGACTGTACCAGATGTCAGGGATCTGAAGCTGTCAGTCTGTTTTACCAGTTCTAATGAAAATTATCCACTACTAGAATCCCTCAAAGTGCAAACACATTTCATGGCACCAGAAGTAAGATGTTAGTAATATGTGGCACTGCTGTAAACTTGCTTTCACAGCAGCTTAGAACATGGGCTCTCAAAGCATATGAACATTCACTCAGCTGATCATCTTTTCTCTGAGTGAAGTGTGCAGAGGGGTTACAGACTGATGAACCGTGTGGTTCAGTGCCCACACTTCACAAGTGCTCCCTCCCAACAGCCCCCACAGAGAATAATACCAGTGGACTTTTGAGACAGTCTCATTGTGTGGCTGTGTCTAGCACAGGAAATCCCAGCTCTGTTCCAGTCCTAACTGGCAGCCACCAGCCTCCTTTGACTCTCAGGAGTTTACTTTGAGACACGCTTCTACTTACTCTGCCTGTCAGGACGGACGTGGTTTGCGATGGATCTGACCTGATATTCTGGAAAGGAGAGGAAAAACCCTATGGTCAACATTTTGTGCTCATTGATGAGTAGAATAACTCAAAATGCAACTTCTTTCATGCAATCTGAAGTGCCCAAAAGTAATTCAAGCAACTCTAAGATAAAAATCAAGGGGTTTGAACTTCAGCATCAATAGGACTTTGCTGATCTCTTAACAGCAACAGATATTAGACCTTTAAATATGAGCTTTATCTATAAAGCATTTGCTTAATGTATTTACAGATACATGGAGCTACAGGAGTTACAAACTGTCCTACAAAGCTGGGAACTGGACACTGCTGCTTTTCAAAATAGGGACCTTTGTTCATTACATACCAAACCCCATATCAAACATTCTGTCAGCTTCATCAAACACAAGATAAGTGACTCTTTGAAGGTTTGTAGCTTTCTTTTTCACATGATCAATCAAACGACCCTATCAAAAAACAAAAGAAACAAGTTTTTAAAGCGTGTTTAAGAAGCTCTTTCCTTTCCTTCAACCATGAGTTGCTCAGTTTTGTCCAAGTTCACAAATAGTTTCTGCAATAAGCAAAGCCAGACGACAACTGTGCTCATTCAAATCCCTGGTTCAGCATGAACACCTGTTCTGATTCAGTGTTTCAGCCCTTCACAGGCTTGAAACTGATTCAGGAAGATGGCACTCAATTTCATTACACTCTGGGTATTTTCTTCATGAATTTAAGGCTCAGCAAGCAGAAGCTGGTACCATGCACAACTGACACTGATTCAAGCAGATCTTGCTCTCAACATCTGATAACCTGCGAAGAACCTAAATTTCAGTGATTAGAGAACGAATGCTGCATCACCAGTGGCATTAAAAATCTGTCTCAGCTTCAGTTAAGCAGCAAAAATGGTCCTGTGTGTATACAGGTACTTACTGGTGTGCAGACAACTATCTCTGCCCCCTCCTGGAGGGCTTTGGCTTGCTCCCACATGCTTCCTCCTCCATACACAGCTACAGAGCGCAGATTATATGCCTTACCAAAGCGCTTACATTCCGAGTGGATCTGAGGATTTTAAACAAAGCACATCACAGCTCATGTTAGACAGATCTGAGAAAACCTACCCTGGAAATACAGTCCAGCTCCTGAAATTCACTTTGCAGCCTAATAACTTAATATAACTTCATGAAATTGTTCAGAAATCCTCAGGGCTGAATAATAATTTCCAATAATTTGAGAAATGTACTTAGGCATCCACTGGGAGACTTCAAAACACTCTTCCAATACCTAAAGGGGCCTACAGGAAACCTGGAGAGGGGGGCTTTGGACAAGGGCCTGTAGGGACAGGCCAAAGGGAACAGCTTTAACCTGCCAGAGGGGAGACTGAGATGAGCTCTTAGGCAGAAGCTCTTCCCTGTGAGGGTGCTGAGGCGCTGGCACAGGGTGCCCAGAGAAGCTGTGGCTGCCCCATCCCTGGGAGTGTTCAAGGCCAGGTTGGAGGAGGCTCGGAGCAACCTGCTCTACTGTGAGGCACCCCTGCACATGGCACGGGGTTGGAACTGGATGATCCTGAGGTCCCTCCCAACCCAAACCATTCTGCGATTCTAGATCCAGCTGTAATTTAAACTGCAGGCTCTATCCTTTTGCACACACAATTTGTGGCAATGAATCCACAGTATTCTTCATATTTAGGCTGTATGGCACACATATACTTTACTACACACCTACCTGTTGGCAAAGCTCTCTGGTTGGGCAGACAATGACTGCAATGGGACCATCCCCCGGCTCAAGCTCCTTTTGATCCATGATATGAATCAGCATTGGCCAGATGAAGGCTGCTGTTTTTCCACTTCCAGTCTTAGCTATCCCAATCATATCTCTGCCACTTAGTGCAACTGGAACACCCTAAAAATAAGGAGATTCTAAACCCATATTATGCCAACCATAGCACATTCTTGTGTATGTATCACATGAAAACTCAAATAACAAGAGGAAAACACACTGCAGAGGAGTCACAGCAACATTCATCAATACTTACAGTTTCATTGCCAAGTTTATATCTGAATTAGACGGTTTTAAGGGCTGGAAGCTATTTTTATGTTATCACTGTTAGGGTCCTGTATGAAATCAGTGTTTGGGCACAGTACAACATCCCAAGGATACATTTACATGTACACAAGCACAGCTTGTCCAGCTGGAACACTGCTAAAACCAAACTCTCTGAGCCTATTCTTTCTGTAGTCCTGAAATATTCAGTTCATCCCTAGTAAAATACCAATCATTCTTTGTGACAGCTTTATATAGGAAACTAGAATTGCACACATCCTCATATGGACCACAGGACCTTTGCGCTGTGTTAGTTCCCTTTAGATGTTAGAGAAGCAACAACACTCACCTGACATTGTATAGGAGTGGGCTGGGTATACTCAGATTTCCTAATTTGATGCATAAGCTGCTCATCAAACCCAAAATGAGCAAAACTACTGCCAGGCCTTGGAGGAGCAGCACCAGAGACCTTAGGAACAGAAATACATCATTGTTCATGAACAGCAAGAGAAACAAAATATGAGGAACAAAGGTGTCTCTGCCTCTGAAAATGGCTTTTTACTTTTTGAATAGAGGTAAGTTCAAGTAGGTGCAAATTCCACGTGTGTAAACAGGACTTTCAGTTACAAAAATGGAGATAAATTGTCAATGCACCTAAGTCACTAACATCCTCTCTACCTCCTTGTATAACTGGTGTTCTTCGCCAGGTAATTTCCTTCATAGAAAGTTGCCACACCAACATGTCACAAATGGCACATAATATTCCCAGTTTCCATTCCTAGCTCTGGAGTTCCTTAGTCCAAGTGTAACCATGCAACTGGCAAACTGCAGTACCCACTCTGACAAATCCGGAGAAGGCTTTCAAGAACTGCTAAGGAAAATCAAGCTCCCTTACATCAAAGCCACCGAAGTTGGCTGAGAGGCTGGAGTTTCCTAGGAAAATCTTCATTAAAACCATTAAGACAGCCCCAAACAAGGAGTTAAAAGGTCCCAGGAGGACAGTTTTGTGACCAGCTTACCCGGAGATTTAGCTTATGACGTAGCTCTACCACTTGCTGCGGCGTGAGACTTGTGATCTCCTCATGCTCATCATAGAAATTCTTCTCAAATGGTGGATATTCAATCTGCAAGAGTAATTAGTCAGTTAGTCCAGGATCCAAAATTCTCCCTCTTTCCACTTAGTTTTGGTGAAGAAGCATCCGCTCCCTCTAAAGTTCTTAACTGTCTGCAAGAACAGTGAAGTCATTCCAAGGATCTTTAGTGTGACCTGAGGCATGACACTGAACTATGAGAAGGATGGAAGCATATTTCAATCTGCTTCTGAGCTCCTACTTTCTAGAATGGGATAAACTTCCTTCCTACCTCTGAGTGATCGATAGGTGGAAGAGGGTCAATGATTTTTTTGGACGGTGCAATTGGATTCCCATCACTATCATACTCCAGGTTATCCTCTTCCTCTTCTTGCACCACACCAGCAGTGGGGTTTTCAGCCATGTAGCGAAAATAAGCTTCCTGCAGCAAAACAGATCAGTAAAATCACATACAATAGGATGCAGAAACACTACTCCATTTGTTTAAGTGATGTATACACTAAATAATGGCTGTTTGCTTCCACACCCACCACTGAGGAAAGAAACCCACATTTGCTAGAACTGATTCTTCTAATAAATACCAACAATTATGCCCAGAAGGACAATATCACCAATGAAGAAAATAACTACAGTGTCAGACCACAAAATGCTTTGAAAAACCAAACTTCTCTTATGTGTCTGCTTAACAGCTCCTTCTACAAAGACTTGTTATGCTTTAACAACAGAAGAATCTATTCTTTTTTCCACATGAACATAGTACGAACACGCAGGTTTTAAAAACAGAGAATACACTGTTACTAAGCATGACATTCACTTCTTTTCCTATGCCAAATACAGTTTCCCCACTTCCCCTAATTAGACTTTAAGAAATGAAAGTGTTATCTATTTTTCATTGAGTCAGTCAACAGCAAATGGGCAAGAGTCCTTCAACACCAGCCCAAGTTAGAAGTCACTGTCACCACTGTCCCATGCCCTCCTTACAGCTCACAAACACTGAATCTCACTGGCTCACCAAGACATTCTCAGGGAGAAAACATAACTCACTCCACTGCCAAGCGGATATGAAAAATCAGATCTTTAAGGCAAGGATCAATTACTGGTGCATGGATATACTCATCCGGGGTTTTAATTTACATGGCAAATTAGCACTCATAGATACAACGCACCTGAACAACAGCTGTTTCCAGGTGTAAGTCACCCTTGCTCAAACTTCAGTACTCACTAAATTGGAAGCAAAGGGCCAGAGGCCAGACAACCCTTCCACACTCTGTGTTACTGTGAGTAACACAATAGCTGTTAATTACAACTTAGTCTTTTCTCTTTGTTTATTACTTCTGTTACAGTGATGTTTATAATCCTCAATCAGAGCTGGAAAATAAACTGAATAAAGAGCAAAAAAACCCTGATCCTTGCCCTTAACAGACATGAAATTTCACTGCAAATAGCCTCCACAGTTTAACAGCATCTCTCTGATGCTCCAAGTTAGTGAATTCTAATCTCAAATTTGACAAGATACTGAAAAACCTGTACAGAAGTTGAAGTTCAAACTGACTGGAAAAATTCTTCTTAAACAGAGTAAAAAAAAGAATGAAATCAGCTCCTAATATTCTTCTTTTTTTTAGTGAAACACCTGGAAGGGTAGAGACAGCAGGGCAAGCACTACAGCTTCCTGCTGAATTGTCCAGATACTGCGCATGACACTGGAGTTGTGTTTGTACCTAGTAGTTCTAGATTTGGGGAGGGAAGGGAAAAAGAAAACAAAACAACAAAGAAGAAGATAGAAAGACTGCATAGGAACTCACTTGGTCATCTTCCTCTTCAATGTCATCTCGAATACCCCTGGAAAAACAAGCGGAGAAAAAAAAAACTTCCCTGCAAGTGTTCCATAGACTCAGCTCCATACTTTCATGTGCTAAGTGCTGAGCTCCATCCTTCGTGGAAGACACAACACTAACAACTCAGTAACATTTATAATCCCAACCCATGGAGTTTGCATATTTGGTGCCAACCAGAACAGCGACCCTGCAAAGACTTCTTTTACTTCTATTAATGAGACTGAAAGATTAGGACTCCGTCTTCCCAGTAGAAGCCACATCAAAGATCATCCTGGTCTAAGCTCTTGATGCTACGGAAGTCCCATAACTGAAGAGGAATATCAGCCAGGAAGTGCCAATCCAGTTCAGAACTTCCCCAGGTGGTCATTTGGATCCGGTGTTCTGTTTCAGGACCATGTATAATCTGATCAACCCCATGCAATGCAAGTTCTACCAATGTATCTGACATTTCTATCAAGAATCAATAGCATCATTATTTTCCTTGGTCAAAACAGGTAAGCTTCCAAAATGTAAACTGTTTTTAAAGTGCCACATGCTACCCAGTACCTCTGCTTTACAGGGAATCTCTTCAAACCTAGTTTACAAGAATCTCCAGTACTAAAGGTACAGCAGCACGGAGTTATTTTGTTCACAGACATGCAAATTTAAACTAAACCATGCTGATCACTGCAAGGATGTGGAAAGAAGAAAAACCTATTTCAGGCTGCTCTGGAAGGCTGTACAACGTGCTGCTCCACTTTGGGTGGCCTAGAAAAGCTTCTCACGTGAGAGAACTCTCAGTGTTGTTACATTTTACTGTAGGATGCCACTATGGATTCTTCCCTCCTGGTATTCAATTTTTACTGCTCAGAACTTTATCCATGGGGGATATCATGTGCTGATTAATGATGGTTACTTGGTGTACATTATACCGGCTACAGAACAATCACCATCAACAAAATGCATTGGAATTCTCTTAGCACCACACAAGACACGGGCAGGCATGGGAAGTATAAAAGAGAACTTACTTAGCATTCTTTTTTTCCTTGTCTTTATCTTCGAGTCTCTTCATGTCTCGAGCAGCTTGATCCTAACAGGTCATAAAATGGCAACATGTTAAAAAGACAAGATGATGAAACTTGCAAGGGAAAAATGTTCATACGTAACTAGACCATCATGCCAGAGACAACACTTTTTGGACTCAACTTTCTCTTGTTCCATATGCTATCATGCTAAATAAATCCTCCTCCTAATACCTTTGAAATCTCTATACTTGTAAATTCATAGCATTGTTGTTGAAAAAAATGCATTCTCTGCATTCCTCCTGAAAACGCTGTGCTCGAATCCAGCTAATAACAGAACTGTAGCTTAGAAACAGCTCCTGAGAAATACAAACCCCTTCAATTTGGGCAGTGAAAAATGCACAAACCCTTCATTTCACAGTCAGAGACACACGAAGCTCTTTGCTGTATTGCTTGGACATGCTCTAATTCACATGGCACCAAAAGGTAATTGACATCCTGAACACAGCTGCCAAAGGCAGGAGAGACATTTGCTGCTCCTGACAGGGGAGAAGTAAGGCCACATAAATGAATAAACATTTCAGGAGCCAGGTCTTGCCTCCACTTCAGCCATGAATGCCTCCAGAGGATCATCATCGCTGTCAGAGTCTGCTGATTTGGAATGAAACTGCTGGCGAGTGGGGGAATTCTCTGCAGGAATGTATGGCAAATCCACATTGCTGGAATCTTCCTCTTCATCCTCAAAGTACCTGAAAAGAAACGAACAATGGCCCAGTCAGCACATGGGTGGGTTAAAGCAGGTGACCTCTGAAGGTCCGAACCCAAACTAGTCTATGATTCCATGGTCTACAGAACTGTGGTGCCACCTCTCATGGTTTTCAAGCCAAGATTCCTACACAAAGATGGATCATACCAGCCAGCAGATACATAGGAAAAGATATTGAGATTTACAACCATTCATGTTGGAGGCTAAAAGAGGTGGCAGGGCAATGAGATATGATGAAACTGGTCTTCTGGAGTGGCTCTCCCAGGCTGGTACACACAGGAGGTTTTTCTGATCTCCCTCCTATTCAACACATTTATGCAGTTAACAGAAGGGTCAGTAAAGACTTGTGGAGCTGAATGTTTCTCTGTACAAAAGACACCCAAATTAATCCCTCTTGGCTCCAATTCTGAGCATACCAGAGTGTGAATAAGATTGAGCTGAGGTATGTTCTTAGAGAACATACTCACAGTGCTCTGTGGGCTGCTGTAGTCATTTAGTTCTATTTAGAGGCAAGGATGTGTTATTATTCTCATTTTACAGATGATGTAAAGGGTAAGTCATTGGCCCAGGGTGATGCCAAAAGTCTGCTGCAGAGCAGGGACTGGGTTCCTGCAGGCAACCAGCTCCACTTTTCTTGACACTGCTGTTGTAAAGCTACCAGTGTTCTGCAACACCATAAACCTCATAAATGTCCCAGAGACATTCCCTGACTTTGGAAACTTTCAAACAGCACAATCTCGAGCTGGATAAACATAGCAATAACGGGACTTACGCATTCTCTTCATCAAAGTTGGCTCGCTTTGACCCAATTTTGTAGAAAGAAGGCAGCTGAGGAGGTACTGATTTTGCAAATGCAGCAGAAGAACCGGCTGTTCCAAAAGCACTGTGAGACTGCTGAGAGAGCTTCGGCTCCTCCTTCTTCCCAGGTGTTATGGCAAAGCCACCAAACCCAAAGCCTCTCTTAGTACCAGGTCCACCTTTGTTCCAATTCATGATGTCCCCAGTGTGTCTGTTAAAACCAGAAAAGACAAATTAACACTCTGCTTTAGGCAGTTCTAGATCTGTCACCGTTTTTCTTGGATTACTTCAGGCATGACAGACACTTGTGGAAACGTGAATGATGAGTTTGCTCTCTTTCCCAAAAAGCATTAGGCTTTGGTCTTGTCTTGTAGGTATAAACGTATCCACAGTTGTCTTCCAAAACAGATCGTGTCCCTCAGCGATTACTTCAGCATATTTAAGATGTTGCCTATCTTCTCTGTTTTGCAACCTAAACCAAACAAACCCAAGGCCAGAACTTTGAACATCAGGAGGGACAAGAGATGAAAATGCAGCTCAGTACATACTCTGCATGTCCTTACAGTCCTGCCCTCAAGTGTTTCATGGCTTCATAAACACCACACTACTGCAACCCAACAGCTCCAGAAAACGAGCCCTAAGCAAGCCTCTGCTCTGAGACAAGGCATGCTTCTGCCAAAGTCAGCTTCCTCTCCTCAAAAGAGCACCTTTAGCCACAGGTATGTTTTAAGTTGGATGAAGAGAAGGCTGAACTGACAGACTAAGGTGTACCCTTCCCACTGCAAGTAATTTATCTCACTTGCATGGTCAAGTCAGTCATCCCTTCAAGGCAGCCAAAGAGATTATGACACCCAAAGCTTTCAAGTGCATTATAATTAGATGGCCCAAAGGTTATGAGTCTTATTAAACAGATTCTCACATTCAGCCAGAATCCACCAGCAAGAGAAACAACTTCAAAATGACCTGAGAAGAAACACTGCTGCTGCTCCCTGTGCAGAGCATTCACCAGATTGCGACTTGCTCAGTGAACCTCAAGTCCAGACCGGAGCTCACCAGAAGGCTTTGGGGGAAGCTGCTGCTCAATGGCAGCAGCTTGTGCTGGTGCCTCCCTCTCCCACTTGCACCTCACAGCTTCCACACCTGCAGATGTGGCAGGTAAGAGATCAAAACGTACAACAACCAGATGAGAGGTGCTGGCTGCACATCAGGTAAGCTTTTAAGGTCCAGTATTTGATTTTAAGCACTCCTCCTCACTGTTACCGACTTTTGTCCTGCCGCTACCCCAGAAAAAAAGACAGAGCGATTCTTTCACGCTGTCACATAGCTGCCAAACGACAAAGTTTGCTCTGCTGGCCCCCGGAGCGGGTTCCTACGGGACAAGGAGGCACCACCGGCTCTGCCGAGCGCCGCTCCAAGGCACAAACCCTTCCTCCAGAGCCCCTGGCTCTGCGGCCATCAGCAGGGTGCCCCGGCTGCTCCAAGACGGGACCCCCCGCGCCGAGACCGCGCGTCCCCGAACACAGCAGGGAAGGGGCCGGGGAGCCGGAGGGCCGCAACCCGCCCTCCCCGCGGGGCTCCCTCCTCACACCGCGGGCCCTCACAGCCCTTCCCGCCCGCGGGGCCCCAGCACGGGGGCGGGCCCTTTGTGCGGGCCAGGCCGAGCCCGCACTAGGCCGCGGTCCCGCCCGCTCCCACCAGCTGGATGGGCGGGGGGTGTCCGGCGGGGAAGGAGCGGCCGCACCGCCCGGCCCGGCCCCGCGCCCCTCACTCACCCCTCGGGCACCGCAGCCGCCGCTTCCCCGGTTACCGGGGCGGGGGGAAGAAGGGGGGGCGGGGGGGGAGACGCGACGTTACGACGTAGGTACGTCCGTGGCGCGCTGAGGTCAGCGCGCACGCGGGAGGAACATGCGCGGTGGAGCGGGGGAAGCCGCGGGAGGCGGGCGAAGGAACCGGGAGCGCCCGGAGCCGCGGGGCGGTGCGGAGCGGAGCAGTCCCGGGGCCTCGCAGGGGGTGCTGCGGGTCCGGTTGTGCCGCCGCTGCGGGACCGAGGGTGTTCCCGGAGCCGTCCGCGGGTGTGAACCCGCACACGGCCGTGCGCGCAGGGAGCGCAGCGCGCATGCTCCGCGTTACGCAAAGCGCGCAGGCTGCGCCGCTTGCGGGCACTGAGCGTAGGGCGAGGGACGGGCCCGAGCGGCGGCGGCGCCGCGTGACTCAGGTAACGCGGGCCCCGGCAGGCTCCGCCGCTCGCTGCCGGCCATGAGGGTACCGGTTGTGCGGTGCCTGCCGGGGCGGGAGGCGCGGGAGCGGGGCCTGGGGGCGCCGGGGTGCGAGCTCCCGCCTCGCTTACCTTGGCGTGTGTCCCTGGAGGGAACCGGAGACCTCGGCACGGCGGTGGCGATGGGGGTCCCGCTTCGCAGCGGAGGGTGGCCGGGGGCTGTGTGTGGTGCGTGGGGCCCGGGACGAGGAGCGGGTTCGGGGTGTCACGGTGCTGCCTCTCGAGGAAGCTTCTTTTGCTCAAGGCTTTATGGAGCTGTGGGGGCGAGCAGATGGGCTCGGAATCCCTCTTGTGAAACACCTGAGCTGGTGGCTCCGTTGCCTTCGGGGCTTTAATCTCCGAGTGCAAGTTCTGAAGTATGGGAATAGGGGTTTTCCTGCTTAAATTCATGTGAAATTGGGGCAGACCCAGCCCACGTGCCAGCCCCTGGTTATGGTGGTTTGTTGTGGTGATTTATCGTGGTGTTTTCCAGCTTGGTTGATGTTCTGCTCAGGTTTTTGCTAGAAGCCTTTGTCAGAGGCGTTCATTTTAAGCGTCGTTGTCATGTGGAGCGGGGTTCCTGCTCCTCCGACTTAGAAACAAATCGTTTCTATTTCAAGGTTTTTTTTTAAGAGAGCGAACTCATTAACAGTCATGTTCCCGCTCGGATCTGGTTGCGGGAGGGAGTGAAATGAGTCTTGCTGCCAGGTCTGACACAGCCGATCCTCCACAGCCCCTCTGCTCTGGAGCCAGGCTGAGAGAGCTGGGCTGGAGGAGAGAAGGCTCCTGAAGGGGAGACCTGAGAGCAGCTCCAGTGCCTGAAGGGGCTGCAGGAAACCTGGAGAGGGGCTTTGGACCAGGGCCTGTAGGGACAGGCCAAGGGGAATGGATTTAACCTGCCAGAGGGGAGACTGAGCTGAACTCTTAGGCAGAAGCTCTTCCCTGTGAGGGTGCTGAGGCGCTGGCACAGGGTGCCCAGAGAAGCTGTGGCTGCCCCATCCCTGGCAGTGCTCAAGGCCAGGTTGGACACAGGGGCTTGGAGCAAGCTGCTCTAGTGGAAGGTGTCCCTGCCTGTGGCAGGGGTTGGAGCTGGGAGAGCTTTAAAGTCTTTTGAAACCCAAATCATTCCATGGTTATTTGATTTTAAGGCTCTGGCCTTGGACCTTGGTAATGGTCCCCACAGTCTGAGTAGGAGACCAGGACTGGTTTAAGATCAAGCAGAAAAAACAGAAAGCTGTGGGCAAAACCAAGATGAGCTGAGAAACTCTGCAGGTTTCTGGCAGATCTGCTCTGGGGAGCCCCAGTTTCTACTGGTCCTTGGGGGTCTAGTGCAGTATCCATCCTCTTCCTGCTGTGTTTTGGTACAGCTTAAAACAAAAGGTCTCAGTCTCTAAATAGAAGTCATGCTGGGATGCTTGGTCATGGATGGGAAGTTGGGCATTAGTGGAGGTGAGATGTAGAATTAATAAGGAGTTATTGCAGTGTTTGATTTCTTTTTACTTTTATTTTCCAGTGAAAATGAAGAATTTCTATATTTTTATTGTTTTCCTGTTCATCCCGTGGAATTTTTCTGTGGCAAAATACAATGAGTTTGAGGATGGAGATGACATAATGGAATATGATGATAATGACTTTGCTGAATTTGAAGATGTTAACGAAGATGCAGTCACAGAGTCTCCTCAGAGGATCATCACTACAGAAGATGATGAAGAAGAAGCCACTGTGGAGCTCGAAGGTCAGGATGAGAATCAGGAAGACTTTGATGATGCAGATGCACAGGTAATGCCTCATCTCCTCCTACATGTTTCCTGAAAGTATCTCTACAGCTTTCTTTCTCACCTTACCTTTTTGGGTTTCACTCACTGGGCTTTGGATTTTCATGCTGGTTGTGATTTTGCCCATTAGGAAGGTGATACCGAGAGCGAACCATATGATGATGAGGAGTTTGAAGGCTATGAAGAGAAACCAGATGCATCCCATAGCAAAAATAAAGACCCAATAACAATAGTTAACGTAGGTATAAATGTTGGTCCACTTTCTCTTTGGTGTTTCATCACTTACTTTGCTAAGGCAGTATGACAGTAATGTCACTGGTGCACAAATTGGCACGTGAGAGAGTGTGTAGCAGGCATCTGCTTATTCACTATTTAAAAGTGATCTTCATTCATGTACTATAGGTTCCTGCTCACCTTCAAAACAGCTGGGAGAGTTACTACATGGAGATCCTGATGGTAACAGGTCTTCTGGCATACATCATGAATTACATCATTGGGAAGAACAAAAACAACCGCCTGGCTCATGCATGGTTCAATACTCACAGGGAGCTGCTAGAAAGTAACTTTGCTCTTGTTGGTGAGTTCCATAATGACTGGGATCTGGTTTTAGTTTATGTGAGTAAAGCTGGGGTTAGGTGGGCATGTAGGCTCTAGGGAAGAGTATCCTTTCCTGTGCAGATGTGTGCTGGCACTAATGACGGCTCTCTGCCACACTTCCAGTGCTGAAATGAATTCTGGTGGTGGTGTATATTCTGGAACACCATGGTGATAATCCAGCAACAACTGAGCTCTGAGCCTGCTGAGGAGCTTTGCTGTTTAAAAATATGATTTTTAGAGTACAGTTCTCTTACACTGTTTTCTTCAGGGGATGATGGCACTAATAAAGAAGCTACAAGCACTGGGAAACTAAATCAGGAAAATGAACACATCTATAACTTGTGGTGCTCTGGAAGGGTGTGCTGTGAAGGAATGCTCATCCAGTTAAAGGTAGGGCTAAGAGAGTTCGTGGTACTGTTAATCTGTCACCAGTTTTCAGGCTCTAGAGGCTTTTCTATTCCAGTGTGAGCAACGAGGAGTCCCAGCTTGACTCTTTGGCTCACATTCAGATACAGGGTTCTGAACGAGCACATGTGAAGGGGAGACTGGTCAGGCTAAAGAGCTGTGCAGGCCTGTATTCTGCCCACTAAAGCAGGTTAAGAGTGGATGCTTACAGAAGGAATATAGAAACCAGAACTATAGCATAAACAGAGGGAAGCTGCCATTTAGAGGGACTTGAGTGTGTTGGAGGAATGACCCAACAGCAATTCTGAGGAGGTACAACACAGACAAAGTCCTGCATCTGGGATGGAACAGCCTGACATGCTGGTTCAGCTCCTAACTCGAGGGAGCAAGGCCCTGAGAAACGTATCTAATACATCAATTGTCTTGCCTTTGAGCAGGAGAGCTGACTTCCAGACAGCCCTTCAAAGCTAAACTATTCTCTGAAAAGCATCTCTTTGTAACTGTCCTATCTGTGAGCCCCACTGCTCTCTGCCAATGAAGTGCTGCACTCAAGGTATACTCAGCTATCTTCTTCTGTGTTTACAACTTGTGCTTTCAGTTCCTCAAGAGACAAGACCTCCTGAACGTTCTTGCACGCATGATGAGGCCAGCTTCTGACCAAGTGGTACGTGCTCAAACCTTTACCTGTAACACACTGCATTCCTGTGGCTCTGAGCTGCTGCTTTGGATTGTTCTTGGGACATACAAGTGAACTGCTGGGTATCTTTCTGTGGTAATTCCAGATCTCCCAGTTCAGTAACTGTTGAAATAATCCAAAAGAATCATTCATCAAATGAGCCTTATCTCTGCTCTTCTAGTCACTGTCATTACGCTGTAGCATTATACCACAACACTAAACAGAGCACTCAGTATAATTAAAAGCTAGTTTATTGTAAGACATACTGAGAAGCTTTAGATTAGCAACTTTAGCTGTCTATGGCCTCACTTAGTCTTTGCTGTCATGAAACAAAGCGTCAAACACTCAAGTCACAGAAGATGTAGGTCTCCATTTGGGCATTAGTCTGAAGACAGAGTGCACAATATGAATCTGCTCGGGGCTAATCACATTCTGTCCCACAGCAAATAAAAGTAACCATGAATGATGAAGATATGGACACCTACGTGTTTGCTGTTGGGACAAGAAAAGCACTGGTGCGACTTCAGAAGGAAATGCAGGACCTGGTATGTATGTTCATATTGGGAATATGCACATGGTAAATAATTGGATGTAAGAACCTCTAAGCTGTAACGTGTTTGTTTTCTTGGAAACAGCTGAAAACTGTTGGATTTAGTGTGTGGGGAAGAGAGGTTTTCATGTAATGGGTGAAAGTAATGCCACGAGACATCTGTGTTCACCAGCTGCTGTCAGAACTGCAGGAAAAGAGGCAGCTGAAAGGAGCTTACACCTCCCTTCTAGTGCTCATTTAGGAGGAGGCTGAAGTATATCGTCAGGATCCACACAAGTGTACTCATTTAATTTGCACGAATGGGTTTTCAAAGCTTGAAAAGCAAACTTAATTGGTGATATGTGATGTGAAAAGTTTGGGTCCGAGTCATCTGCTTTTTGTGATCTGAAATTAAAACTTTCCATATGTCCAGGCCCTGAAGCTTGCAAAGAATCCAGTGATAACAAGCCGTGGTTTGCTAATAATTGCTTCCTTCGTAACTCAGGAGCAGCAGTAAAGTGTGGTTCATAGGATGCCAGTAGGTCTTGTTTTGTTGTCAAACAAAGTAAGCAAAAAGCAAAATGTCATGAGTAAAATGTCTTAACTTTGAGTATTACATTGTTTTGTCTTTAAAGTAGTGACTGTTGAAGAGAAATACTGCCTTAAAGACTATTGATGCTGCATGTTTGAAATGTCCCCAGCAGGACTGAGTGACAGAGTTAGCATATTCTTTGTGCACTAAACTGTCCCACTGTGCTGGAACAGGTCAGTCTGATAAGATACACACAAGCTTGTGTTTATTTCTTCCCCCTTGTTCTCTTTGAAATAGAGCGAGTTCTGCAGTGATAAACCCAAGTCTGGTGCAAGATACGGGCTTCCAGATTCACTGGCCATCTTGTCGGAGATGGGGGAGGTCACAGAGGGAATGATGGACGCCAAGGTAAGCCTGGGTGAATTAGAGTCATAGGATGGTTTGGGTTGGAAGGGACCCTAAAGATCATCCAGTTCCAGCCCCTTGAATTAGTACAAACCTTCAGCCTGTGCAAAAAGTTCTAATCTTTATAGAATCGTAGAATCTCCTGTAAAGATCACAACAGGAGAGCCAAATGACCCCCATGGGATCTAGAGAAATCCAGACCTAAGGAAGCTTGAGGGCTGGAAGAGGGGTGTATTTCTCACATCTTTATCCCTTTTACTTAGCAACTGTTAGCCTAATCTGAACTGCAGACTTAAATCTGCCTTTCAAAGCCTGGAAGTCAGCTCCAACAGCCTGTTCGAAGGAGGGTGTTGATGGTGTGTCTGCAGGTCCTCAAAGCTGACCTGTTACCAAATGAACTGGAAAATCCCAAACAGGAGTTAGATATCCAATATTTGAGTTGCTGACATTAATTCAATGCGTTGGGGCCCATTGTAGCAAAAGCTATAAATAAGGAAATGATAGTTTACATTTCAGTGTCATAGTGGCAAGCTGAGCACAGCAGTTTTCTGAGTGATGTGTAGACACTTTGGCAAACCCACATGGATCAGGGAGGCTGCAGAGGGATTGGTGTTGGAAAGAACTAACCCCACGTTCTCTTCCAGATGATACATTTCCTCACACATTATGCTGACAAGATCGAGTCCGTCCAATTCTCGGACCAGTTCTCCGGTCCAAAACTTATGCAAGAGTACGTATCTCTCATCCCATAGCTACTGTAGCACTGAGCAAAATAGAGGCTGACAGACTTGTTTGCACTGTTAAGCCTGCTGGAATGCACACAAAGAGATTGGGAGCAGAGGTGAAACAGGTGAATAAACAGCACTCCCAATGCTTCCAAATGCTGCATTAGTTTAGAAGATAAAGGTGCTGTATTGCCTTAATACTGATTTTTGTGTGCTGGTTCTGCTGTAGTTTAGGCAGCTACAAATTCCAGCTAACGCTTGGCAGCTCGAGTGTACACATGGAAAATGACTGAGTAACCCCACTGAAGATACACAGCCTGTTATAGTTTAGGGGCCAAGAAATAACACTGCAGGAGGAGAACTCGAGATGTTACCTCAGATGCTATTTGAATGAATTGAGAACTAGGTGTAAGCAAAGTCTGCAGTGTAAAAAACCCAACATGGGGTTTTTTCCTAACTGGTATTTATAGAAGGTCTGTAGAAATATAAATAACAGGGCAGCAGGTGCAAAATTGCATGCCATTAAAAATACACAGACCTTTGTAGGGCTCTGACTATTGGGTTGGATGGTGCTGTTTGTTAATGCCTTCTCAGTGCTTTTGAGTAAAACACTTTAAGTTTGCAACTTAAATTTGGGTTACAGCAGGCTTTTAATCCTGTTTATTTTATAGAATCATAGAACAATTAAAAAGGACCTTAAGATCATCCCGTTCCAACCCCCATGCAATGGGCAGGGAATCCTCACCCTACACCATGTTGCCTAAGGCTCTGTCCAGCCTGGCCTTGAATGCTGCCAGGGATGGAGCATTTACCATTTCTTTTGGCAACCTGAGCCAGCGCCTCACCACACTCACAGGGAAGAACTTCTGCCTTAGATCTAACCTGAACTTCCCCTGTTTCAGTTTGAACCCATCACCCCTTGTCCTATCACTCCAGTCCCTGATGAAGAGTCCCTCTTCAGCATCGTTGTAGCCCCCGTCAGACACTGGAAGCTGCTCTGAGGTCACACAGCTTCTCTTCTCCAGGGTGAACAGCCCCAGTGTTCTCAGCCTGGCTCCATATGGAAGCTGCTCCAGCCCCTGATCATCCTCGTGGCCTCCTCGTGACTTGCTCCAACAAGTAGTTTGCAAGTTTCCCTTGGTTCCTGACAAGGTTTTCCCTATCTGTGTCAGGTATTTTGTATGCCCCTATTTTTCTTCACTCATTTCTGCCACTTTTTCCTTTCCTACCAGGGAGGGGCAGCTTACAAAACTGCCTGAAACCAAGAAGACACTTCTGTTTACATTTAATGGTAAGAGAACTGGTGTACAAGTGGGTATGTGTACCTGGGGGGTGCTGTGCTTTATCTGTGCAAGACATATGCTCGATTCTGGCATCTGTGGAAGACAACATATATGACCTGTGACTTCAGTGCATGTAACGGGTCATTGACTGATTAACCAGTAAACAGAAGGCAGTGATAACACTAGGGAGTGAGCAGCACCTTGTCATAACAGGATACTGAATCTTGCTATTATTGATCTTAGAATCAACCACGTTGGAAAAGACCTTTAAGGTCATCAAGTCCAGCCTTTCCCCAGTCCTGCCAAGGCCACCACTAACCCATGCCACTGAAGTCCTCATCACCAGGGATGGTGACTCTAGCACTGCCCTGGGCAGCCTCAGCACCCTTTGGGGAAGAAATTGTTCCTAATACCTTGGTGGTTGTATCAGGTCATCATTACTCTTAAGCCATGGGCCTTGCAGTTTGAACTTGCACAGAGCTACTTGATTGCCCCTAGTTTGAAATAAAACCAGCCTGGTGGGAGTCTGTTCTCAAAGGCAAAGCTCATGTCAGAGCCTGAATTCAATCCTTATTTTGTATTCTGTGCTAATAAAACTAAGGAGGATTGTGTGGGGTAAAATGTGCCTGTCACTGTGTGAGGAATCTAAGTTTGATCTCTGAAAATAAACTCTTTTAGTTATTTCAGAGAATCATTTAGGTTGGAAGAGACCTTTATGATGGAGTCCAACCATTATCCCAGCCACTATGCCCCAAGCCTGTAGTATTACATGGGGTTGTTGTGACCTAAGTGCAGGTCCCAGCACTGAGCCTTGTTACCCTTCCTAAAGCGTAGTGGAAGCACATCTTTTGTGAATGGTGTGAGCAATAAGGAAAGAGCATTATAACAAGTAGAAAGGTCCTTTCAGTCTCTCTGAATTAACAAGAAACGCTTTTATTTCAGTGCCTGGTTCAGGCAACACTTCCCCAAAGGACATGGAGTCTTTGCTGCCCCTGATGAGCATGGTTATCTACTGTATTGACAAAGCGAAGAAGTTCCGTCTGAACAGAGAGGTAAGTGGTATCTATTTTCCTGTCTTCTGAATATTGTATGAAATTGCCACTATTACCATTGGATCCCAAATCTTAATATGTGGAGCTTTCTATCTCTAATGTGACTACCAGAGAGATTGCATCCTGCTCATGGGGAAATCCATATGAACTGCATTTCCTTCTCTCTGTCAAAAGGGTAAACAAAAAGCTGACAAGAACAGGGCTCGTGTGGAAGAGAACTTCCTTAAGCTGACTCACGTGCAAAGGCAGGAGGCTGCTCAGTCCCGTCGAGAGGAGAAGAAACGGGCAGAGAAGGAGAGAATCATGAACGAAGAGGATCCTGAAAAGCAGCGGAGGCTGGAGGTGAGGTGGATTTTCAGGTTGTTACATCGGCCTGTAGCTTGTATCCTGGGCTGCCTGTAGGTACAGCAGCAACACCCACCTCTGATCCTGTAGGATCTTTGTGGGAAGGCAGAGAGCTTCCAGGGTATGTGCTGGTGCTTTCCTGAAACGTGAAGGCTCCTGGTGAGGAGCCATCTCACGTGGTTAGAGATGTGAACGCATGTGCTGGTCAGCTCTCCTGAAGTGATCAGCCTGCTCTTGGGTTGCTGCTGTTCATTCACATCTCTTTGTCCTCACCTGCAGGAAGCAGCTTTGCGGCGTGAGCAGAAGAAGCTTGAGAAGAAGCAGATGAAGATGAAGCAGATCAAAGTGAAAGCAATGTGACTCCATGGGGAGCAATGTCTCAGTGCCACCTGCAGAATTGGAATCCACAGGGTACAAAGATCTACTTAACTCCATAATCCTACACTTTGAACACTAATAGCCATTAAGAGAAATGTTCCTTGGCATTGGTGTTACTTATTTAAGTATTCCAGCAACATGCAGGTGTATGTAGAGATCTTTGTCTCGGCAGTTTTACTCCAGGTGGTACATTTGCTACTTGTCTAAGAAAAAAAATTGCAATAGTCTTGAATGCTCTTTGTCATTTGTTCTTTAAAACCAGAAGGCTGTAAAGTCCTCTGGTTTTACTGTCCACATGTGCTGGTAACATACTCATGCTTTGGTTTTAAACTTTGGGTTTAGTTCTTGGGAGGGAAGGGGGGGAACTTTAGGGGAGGAAAACTGCACAAGAAACTGTGCATTTATTTGCATTAAGCTTGTAAAGGCACAAAACTTAGAGCCTTCCATACACAGTATGGATTCTTCAGGGATTTCAGCCCAGTAGAATAGAAGTGCTTTTTGTTTTCTTTGTTTTTTACAACCAAGGGACTGAAACAGTGTTAGGTCACCTGTGGGCATGATGTGTAAACCAGATGGGTTAGAGAGGAGGGAATAGGCTATGTGAACAGTTTCCTACTTGTGGTTTTGAAGGCCACAAGTACAATGTGAAGTGTGTAATGTCAACGTGGTGGTTCTTCAGGAGCATGTGGTGAGTTAGCAGCTTCAACAAGCTTTCCTTGAGCATTTTCAACTATACAAGTTTGCCTCAAACCCGCTTGATTTCAGCAGCTGCTGCCTAGTTCCCTTCGGCCAGAGCTAGATTCAGTGAATAACTGCAACTGCCAATTTCCCCAAGCAAGTAAAAACGTTTTGGGGGTATGTGAATCCGCTTCAATGATCACTTCAGGTTTTGAAGCTAAATGGGGAGCATGAAGTGAATGCCCCAGTGCAAGCACTTTGCTGAGAGAGCCCTGCATTTTATAAATGCTTCCTGTCTAGAAGGCGTTTTATTGTTGCTTGTAACAGACTTTACACAGTTTTGTGGGGAAAACAGGATCTTGCATTTTCTTGTTGAATACTGTGTGCAAACTTGGTTCAGAGGCAATAAGAATGAGCTGCTGTTGAAACAGCAACTGCTTAAATTTCGTCCAGCATGGGCTACTTCACACTGAATTAAATGCAAATGTCTGTAACCTGATACATGCAAATACATTAATTTTATAATGGGTGGTAAAATTATTTAAAACCAAAACTAATGTAGATGATGTGAAATTTTAGCACTATTTAGCTTTAAAGATGACTACAGCATTGTTCCACAACGGTCTTGGAAAGGTAATGCTGGTTTGTGCTCTTTAAGTGGACAGCTTTCCTGAAGTCCCATATGTCTGTGGGCTGTGGCAGCTAATTTTGTACTATGAACATTGAAACGAACAATCTAATGAAGAGTAAAAAGAGAACTGAAACACTCCCCCTGCCTGCTCTGCTCTGCTTGGCTGGACTCTGTGTTCCTTCCATCCCATAGGATCGCAAAGCCTGGTGGTTCTGTCCACCTGGGAGCTGCTCCCTGTGCGGGTGGTGGGTGCTGGGGAAGGGCACAGAGCCCTTGAGGCCAGATCACAGAATCCACCGGGCTGGAAAAGACCTTTAATAGCAATGAAGTCCAACCGTTCCCAGCACTGCCAAGGCCACCACTGCCCCATGGCACTGAGGCCTCGTCTCCACGCTGTGTGAACACTCGCAGGGCCGGTGACTGCAGCCCTGCCCTGGGCAGCCTGTTCCAATGCCTGAGCACCCTCTGGGGCAGGAATTGTTCCTCAGCTCCATCTAAACCTGCCCTGGTGCAGCTTGAGGCCGGTTCCTCTTGTCCCATCCCTTGTTCCTTGGGAGCAGAGCCCAGCCCCTCCTGGCTCCATCCTCCTGTCAGGCAGTTGTAGGCAGCCATCAGGTCCCCTCTGAGCCTTCTCTTCTCCAGACTGAACCCCCCAGGTCCCTCAGCCCTTCCCCATCACACTTGGGCTCCAGGCCCTGCACCAGCTCTATTGCCCTTCTCTGCCCCTACTCCAGCACCTCAATGTCTCTCTTGTAGTGAGGGGCCCGGAACTGAGCACAGGGGTCGAGGTGAGGCCTCACCAGTGCCCAGTGCAGGGGCACAATCCCTGCCTGGCCCTGCTGCCACACTGGTGCTGGTACAGGCCAGGATGCTGGGGGCTTCTTGGCTGCACCCCCAGGTCTCTGCCACAAGCATTTTCCAGCCACTCTCTCGCTAGGCCTGGAACGCCGCACGGGGTTGTTGTTGCCTGAATGCAGGTCCTTTGCCTTGTTGAATCTGGTACCATCGCGACAGCCCATCGGTCCAGCCTGTCTAGATCCCTCTGCAGATCAACTCTGCCAACCAAATTTACAGCGGGTGCCCTCGATCCCCTCACTGACATCGCCAATGAAGCTATTAAACACCTCAGGAGGGGCAGCCGTGGCAGACTCACCGCCTCTGCTAAACGCGGCAGCCTCCACCGTCCCCTGAGGCGACCAACATGGCGCCGGCCCCTTCCCGCCGGCAAGGCGACGCGACGCGACGCGACGTTACCCTCGCGCCGGGTGACGCGACGGCGTGCTTGCGTCACACGCGCGGCGTTTCCGTGCCGGTGGAGCGGCGGCCGCAGCTGGAGGCGCGGGTGAGGGGGGAGGAGGCCCCGCGGGCCCCGGGCCGTGCTCACCGGCCTTGGCCGCGCTCCTCGCTCGGCGCTGTGGGGCTGCCGGGGAGCGGGTGGGTGGGCGCTGCCCCCGGGGTGACCGCGGTGACCGCCGTTGTGCCCCGGGGTGACCGCCGTTGTGCCCCGGGTGACCGCCGTTGTGCCCCGGGGTGACCGCCGTTGTGCCCCGGGTGACCGCCGTTGTGCCCCGGGGTGGCCGCCGTTGTGCCCCGGGGTGACCGCCGTTGTGCCCCGGGGTGACCGGCGTTGTGTCCGGGGTGACCGCCGTTGTGCCCCGGGGTGACCGCCGTTGTGCCCCGGGTGACCGCCGTTGTGCCCCGGGGTGACCGCCGTTGTGCTTGCGGTGACCGCCGTTGTGCCCGGGGTGACCGCCGTTGTGCCCCGCGGTGACCGCCGTTGTGCCCCGGGGTGACCGCCGTTGTGCCCGCGGTGACCGCCGTTGTGCCCGCGGTGACCGCCGTTGTGCCCGCAGGTTTGCCCGTCCTTTCCCGAGCTGCGTGTGGTAACGGTAACGCGGATTCCATGTCTTTTCTTGTAAGTAAACCCGAACGGATTAGGGTGAGTGTTGAACCTCTTCCAGCTTCCCTCTGGCGCCGGCGTGTCGGGAGAGCCTTGCGCTTGTGCCGAGGTGCTGCGGCGGGGCTGCCCTCCTGGAAAGCACCTTAAGGCGGCGTTCAGACCTGCGGGGGGCTGGTTAAAACCCCTGTGCTGGAGGGTCTATGGCTTCCACGCGTGTATTTCCTCTGTATGCAGAGCGAGGGAGGGGGTTTAACGGGCGCTGTCATGAAGAGAAAGTGCGGTGGTGCTGGCTGCTTCCTGCCGTGCTTGAAGGAGTTACCACCTCGCTGTGTCCCTCACCGACAGCCTGGGGGTTTCACCCTAAACTTAACCCTTAACCACACACAACAGCTTCGTTTAACTCTGCGTTTTTAAGCGAGGAAGTTTCGTGTGAGGAAATGCCTTTAAATGGTGGTGTTAGGGACAGGGTTTGAGTCGTTGTCACTTAAAGACTTGGTGGTGCTTTCTAGGACTGGCTTCCCTTGCACTGAACAGCATAAGCTATGCTTCTTCAGTTATGTTACCAACTAGACAGCCTCTAACGTGGCAGTGTTTGCAATTGCTTATTTAATGCTACATGATCAGCACTCTGCAAGCCTAAAATTGTATCTTCTTTGGTGTGCTGTGTCTGTGGATATCTATTCCTCTTTGAATCACAGAGGTGAATAGAGATTCCTCCGCACGATCTAATGCTTGCAGCCAAATAAAGCATGAGTTCTGGAGAAAAACACCACTAACATATTTCTCTTCTAATTTTGCATCCAGTCGATAGATATATAGCAAAAAAAACCTCAGTTCCCTAAGACATCACCTCCTTGTAAATAGTTGAAGCATTTCTTACATCTATTTAAACCAACCAGCTTCTATTTGGCTATACAAGCAAGTTGCAGCATGCTGCTTATTTTTGCTGTGTGTGCATGTATAAGGGTTCTTGTTTGAGCGTTACAAATGATGTTACCTGTTGTTGCAAGTGCATGTTGGTCAGGAAGAGCAGTAGTTGTTAGTTATTAGGTGCACCCCATTGCAGTGGCACGAGAAGAGAATATCCTTATCTAAAGTAAGGCTGGAACTCTGATGTTGCAGCTGGTTGGTTTCAGACCACAGTAGAATCCTTGAAGTGTTATGATTCTCTTCTCTTTTGTTGGGGAGGTGGAAAAGAAACTTGTTTCTCTGTGGATTAACTGATGAACTGCTTTGGCTTCTTTCAGCGGTGGGTGTCTGAAAAGTTCATTGTTGAGGGCTTAAGAGAGTTCGAACTGTTTGGAGGTAAGTTTTCCTCTCATTAAATGACATTGTTAGAAGTGTTTTGACTGCAAGGTCTGTTAATTTCATTGTAAATATGTATCTTAACAGTAGAATAATGAATAACTCTCCTTGTAGCACCAGATCTGCTTATTCAAGCAGGGGAAGCATGTAAAGTTAATATGGAAGTGTCCAAGATCCAGCTTCTTGTGGGTGGCAGCACTGTTTTCAGACCCTGCATTCTGCCTTTCTTAGCATAACCAATACAACCTTTCCCTATGCAAAAGATAGATTCGGGGGTTGGGAAGGTTAATTATCATTTTCAGAGTAAAAACGGATTTTGAAACTGATGACACGGCAGGGGGTTGGAATTGGGTGATCTTAAGGTCCTTTCCAACCCTGACTGTTCTATGTTTCTATGACAACTCCCCAGTGTGCCCCTAGAAGAGCTGGTAGGCTCCTGTTCTGCTTTGTGCATAAGGAACTAAACTGCCCACTAGGCTGCAGAATGGGTGCCATGGAAGGAGGTCAGAGCATAGGAAGGGTGTCTCTATCTTGAGCTTCCAGGTGGAGTGGAAGAATTCTCACTACTTTAAATAAACTTTGGGTAGTTCTTCTGTATTTAAGCAAAGTAGATACGTAATTTTTGAATGTGTTTAGAGGTATAATAAAAAGATTGTCACATATATGTTGGGTATATGAACAGTAGCACTATGGGAATCCCTTTAATCTCCATACTTGTACTATAATTTGATTCTTAAAAGTCTTTTCCAACCTAGTTGATTCTATGATTCTATGGTTTTCAGTGCTGCAGCCTTATGTGTGAATTAAATGACTCTGTTCAACATCATCCCCCCCCCCCCCCCCCCTTTGGTATCAACAAGTAGCATGCAGGGTTATTTACTCACTTTTCCCACTATATTTTGAATGGGTATCTGTTGAACACATAGTGAACAATTCATTTCTTTACTCCAGAGCAGCCTCTGGGTGACTCTCGGAGAAAAGTAAGTGACTTTTGCAGGCTGTGGTGCTGTGGTTCATTGCATGGAGATTATTCCTTGTGGAAGTTTGAGTTTCATTCTTTTCTTTTTCTCTTAGTTAAATATCTCATCTCTATATTTAGTTCTACAAGTGTGGAAACAGGTTTCACCCTGGAGTGGAGATTTTGGTGTGTGGTTTTCCAACTGTACATGACAGGTCAAAGCTTTTAATCTCTTGGATTTGTATTGGTGTCATCATTCCCCCTACCCTCACCCTCCTGAGGTTATTTAGATCTGATTCTTCAGAAAAGCATATCTATCTGTTTTAGAGTAAAAGAAAGAGGTTAATTTATGGGACTTCTATGTTGGAGTAAATCCAGAGGAAGCCACAGAGATGCTGCAAGGGCTGGAGCAGCTCTGCTCTGGAGCCAGGCTCAGAGAGCTGGGCTGGGTCAGCCTGGAGAAGAGAAGGCTCCTGAAGGGGAGACCTGAGAGCAGCTCCAGTGCCTAAAGGGGCTGCAGGAAACCTGGAGAGGGGCTTGGGACAAGGGCCTGTAGGGACAGGCCAAGGGGAATGGCTTTAACCTGCCAGAGGGGAGACTGAGATGAGCTCTTAGGCAGAAGCTCTTCCCTGTGAGGGTGCTGAGGCGCTGGCACAGGGTGCCCAGAGAAGCTGTGGCTGCCCCATCCCTGGCAGTGTTCAAGGCCAGGTTGGACACAGGGGCTTGGAGCAAGCTGCTCCAGTGGAAGGTGTCCCTTCCAACCCAAACCATTGTATAGTTCCATGATTTTATGATCTGAAAACTAGGCCCAAGGAAGCTGTTGGCCATTCAAACCCAGTGTTCCCTTCTGAACACACTGACCCTGATTTCCTTTCTGTTCCCTGTAGAGCAGCCACAACAGAGGCTCTGACATCAAAACCAAACATCATGCAAGTTTGAGGTGACTTTGCCTCCTGTTGTCTGCTTGTCTTCAGA